AACGGTGAAAATTGAGGAAAGGGATGTAGCCTCTTCATCCCCATAGGGAGTGCCATATTCTACTCCGGTTCCGAGCTCTCTCTTTCCTCATCGACTTGTGAGTCACATTGAAGTCATACCAAGATGAAAAAACAGTAGTGTTAAGTGGAAGTGGAAAAGGGTTGGGAAATTAATGCATTGGGCGGAGGGGGAATGCGGGGTCGACTCTTGTCCACTCATTGAAGCACAACCTATAGTTCCTAATGACCTCCTTCTTTTTCTCACACTCCTCACTATTCCAAATCAAACTCCCAATCTTCCCCCGTTTTTCCCTTCCTAGTCAGTCGCTGCTGAATGATTGCATTGATTTGATCATATCTTTTTTCGAATGGTTGTGTTGCATTTTTTCTTTCCTTTTCTCCCATTGTGTTGAGATGTCAACCAGAATTTGTTGTTTTATACCTTATGTGAATTCTAGGCCATCAAGTCTGGCTCCTTCTCATTCATTTGTACATCTCGATTGTCATATGGTCCACAAGATGGCTCGCCTTCCCAATACAATTAGGTTGTGTGTGAAGTTGTTGGTCTGGTCGGGGGACCAAATTTCTAACAAAATTACTTTCCATCCCCAAGGTCATTGTGTCGTGGTTTCCAACTGATCCCAAATGTGCCCCCACCATCTCCATAGCCAGACCGCGCCTGGGCAGACCAGAAATATATGCTCAATGGTTTCTGGGAACCTTCTACTGGGAAACGCAGACTTGCATAATTTAAACCAGGGTTATGTTTTTCCTTTCTTTTCCAATGAGGTCTTGTCTATGAGCCAGTCATTTTTTGGGAACCAATGGTGTTCGATGAACCACTGGAGTGAGGCTAGGGTTTTTATTTTACCGCACTGAACCACTTTGCCTGGATTAAGTCTTCCTTACTTATGTTCATTTGCTGCATCCATCTTGCCTCCATTATGGGTCTAATCATGCGGTATGTTGATGTGACCGACAAAGAGTGTAAGGAAGGATTGTAATGCCTTTTTTGCTTCGTTTGGAAACCCCATGTCTAGCAGGCTGGGTCTAGTGGTAGATCAGAGATCGGGGTTGTTGGTTTGAAAGCTAACCAGGATGATGTGTCCTTTCTAATGACTCTAATTAGGAAAAATTTGATCCGTTTGCACCCACGTAGTCTTATTTTCAGGGAAAGGGATTATTACATTGTCTTCCTTCAGAGAGAAAAAAGAGATAAAAGTTATGTTTATTGAGGAAAAAAGTATGACATTTCCAGTCCTGTGAGAGTCTTACCTGAGGGTTTTCCAGTCACTTTCCTGGAAGGTTTTCCCCTTCTTGAGGATTCTTATCCAGTCCAGCAGGATTAGGTCGATGATTTTGTACAGACTCTCCTCCACATGATGGCAATATTTTACGAGGTTGTGTAATAGTTAGGGAAATACCCACTCCTTGGAATCTTCATCCCAAATATCCTTTACCCTTTTTACTCCTTTCCTGATCCATCCTTTCCATGGGTTGTTATTGCAGTGTAGCGTGTAGCCTTGGGAGTCCTTGATCCACTCACTTTTGAAAATGGGTTGCCTAATAACCTTTTCTCATCTTTGGGGGTGATGTTTATCAGGCAAGGGGAGTTTCTTCCAAATCTTACGGATCATGGGCAAAAAAGGGTCGTTTGGTTATTGGGTGCGCACCTTGGGATAGGCTATGATCGGTTTTCCAACCATATTGTTAGGTCAACAACAAAAAAGGTGGGAGGGGCAATTCTTCTTATTTATTTCCATGCTAGGGCACTCCATGTTGTTTAAAGGTTAAATATGAAGTGCTTAATCCATTGTAATGAGAGTGTCATGACTTGGCTAGAAGGGTCTATGATGCGCAACCCACCACTTGCCTTTGATTGGATTATGGATGAACAGGTTGCCTTGCTAATCACGTTATTGCAGTTGTGTCTGCCTCTCTATAGGAATGCTCTTAAATGTTGCTGAAAATGTTTGACGAATGGGTTATCTAAGGTCCAAATAGCATATCTATACCATATTGAAGTTAATATTACATTATTGATTGCTAAGAAGCGGCCCATGAAAGAGGTATGTTTGTTTTTCCACAGTTCCAGTTTGGATTGCGCATTCTACATGATCCTTTCATTATTAGTTTTTGGTTTCTCTTCCGCTGATAGGGAAATACCAAGGACTCTGATAGGAGTGTCCAATGGCAACCACTTGATTTTGGGTGTTTCATGTGGTCTCACCCCCTGCTGATGAATCCAACATCCTAAGGTTTTATCTCCCCAATTTACTTTCATGTTCGATAGTCTACATAAAATAATCATTATTCTTTGAATAACTTCCATATTTTCATGTGTAGCATTTGTTATTAAAGAAAGATCATAAGCAAACAAGGAACATACTGAAATTGTACCCGAGTCGACACCTGAGAAAAGCAGAAACCAACGAGAACCATGTATGGAGAACAGGTAACCTGCTTTAAGTTCTCAGCATTGGCAGCTATCTTATACTTTGTGAAGCGCTCTTTATCATCCACAGAGACATCTGCATCATAACCAGAAGGTGTCCAAGATGTCAAGGACGAAGGAGAGCATGTCATAATTTGACACTCAGCTAGAGCATATCACAGTGCAATACCTTGACAGTTCCTTAGTATACCCCCCTTCAATCAAACTCACCTTTGGCAGGTCTGCAAAAAAACCCTTATGATCCATCGAGGCAGTTGTCTGCCTTGCTGTGAAACCTTAAACCACCAGTACTTGGCCCAGCTATCGAATCCGAGCCTTGGCCGACCGGTATGCCAAGCCGTGCCGAGGCTCGGACTACCGGACACTGCCTTCCCAGACCTCTGCGAAAAGAGGGGGGACAAAGACGAGAAGAAAATGAACTAAATGCCGTTTCTTTTTTTTTTCAAAGTTATTTTCATCATTCTCTCGCGGTACTTCTTCGCTATCGGTCCCTCACACGTACTTCTGACAAAAATAAGCCAAACACGAAAACGAAAGAAACAAAAGAAAAAAAGAAAGAGAAATCACGACAAAACAAACCATTCAATTTTTGTTGCAGCGTGAACGAACGAGAGAGAGAGAGACGGAAAGGGAGAGAGAGAGAGAGAGAGAGAGAGAGAGAGAGAGAGGAGAGAGAGAGAGAGAGAGAAAGAGAGAGAAAGAGAGAGAAAGAGAGAGAGAGAGAGGGGGGGGGGGGAATAGGGAATGCATCTTCCCATGAAAGCAGGAACATTCATTCCAGTTTTGCACTTGGCAAGGCGTGCGTGCACGAGAGAGAGAGAGAGGCGGCGGCTTTGCTTCGGCGTTCCGTGCAGGTCGCCACCTCTCTCTCTCTCTCTCTTGCGCCTTGCCAAGTGCAAAACGGGAACGAATCTGCCCTCTTCGCGGGAAGATGTGTTCCCTATTCCCATCTCTCTCTCTTTCTCTCTCTCTCTCTCTCTCTCTCTCTCTCTCTCTCTCTCTCTCTCTCTCTCTCTCTCTCTC